TTAAAAAAAAAAAAGGTGGGGGGGGGGGGGGGGGGGGTTAGTTTACTAGTCATAATACACTCTAAATTTTAAATTTTTGAGGTCCATGTTTTAAAACTTTTGCATATATGCTTGTTATTTTACAAAATCACGCATCATTAATTGTTGTTGTCCATGTGTAAAATAAGATAATTGGAACAATTGACAAAGGAATTGCAGTCCAATAGGTTTTATCAAATAAACCACAATTGATAGAAGTAGGGTTGATGTGGAGCCGAGCTGAGCTCAACTAAGCTTGTTATAGTATTGAGTTGAGTTAAGCTCAAGTTGAGCCCATCCAATTTTAACAAATATAACTATACTCAAGCTAAGTCGAGCTCGAGTCAACTTTTTCCATGTTTTATTTTGCGCGCATTTTAAAAAATTAAAAGATTGCTTAGCTACGCAAACTACAAGCATTACTAGTTTAAATTGATAGTTTCATTGAAGTGTGATTGAATTATATAATTTATAGTTTAAATTTACATTTAAATGAATTTAACTTAATGTTGAACATAAAATATAATTTTCATATCATAAAATTATATAAATATAAAGCAACAACAAATTCAAAAATTTGTATAGTATTATATTTTTTTCATATCACGAGCAAATAAACCCAACTCACTGGGAAAATCAATTTCAAACATAATCCAATTCCATTACTAAATGATAGAAATTAATCATTTCGAAGCAGCCATAATATAGAAAACGTAATGTCATAAGTGCGAGAATACATAAAAACTCCAAAATTAGTAATGTGGGTCAAGATCTAAGCATATGTAATTATCTTACCATGTTGCATCAAGGCATTTTCAAATTCAATGCCTGGAGCATCACATTAAACCACATAGCCCTTTGAACCCTCTAACAAGGCTAAAACTAATGTTGATGTCAATATGTCCTTGAGCTTCTGAAAGCTAAGCTCACGAGCTTTGGTCCACTCGAACTAATAAATTGCTTTGTAAGTTAGCTTCGGCAATGGTGCTGACAACGAATCTCCTATAGTAACCTGCTAATTCCAAAAAACATTAAACCTCTATTGGAGTCATGGGCCTAAGCTAAATCTTCACGACCTCTAACTTTTGTGAATCAACCATGATGCTTGCATCTGATACAACAGGGTCTAACAAAGCTACAAAGTTCAACCTAAACTCACACTTTGAAAACATCGCATAAAGCTCCCGATCTAGAAGCACCTGAAGCACTGCTCACAATTGATTTGCATGATGAGTTTTGAATATAAAATATAACATAATATCATCAATATATACAACTATGAATAGATCTTGAAACATTTAGAATACGTTGTTCATCATCTATGAACACTGTTGGAGCATTTGTCATCCTAAAATACATCATAAGGAACTCAAAGTGACTATACCTAATCCTGAAGGTCGTGTTCAGAATAATTCTCTCCCTATCTATCATCTAATGGTACCTTGAACGCAAGTCAATATTGGAGAAGTACTTATCACCCTGCAACTGATCAATCAAGTAATCAATTATCGAAAGAGGATATTTATTCTTTATAGTCAGTTTTCTCAACTACTGGTAATCAATTCACATACTCAGTGAACCATCTTTCTTTATTAAAAATAAACCAGAGCACCCTACGACGAAGCTCTAGCATTAATGAAGCTTTTATCTAGAAAATCTTTCAAGTGCTCTTTTATCTCCTTTAGCTCAACAAAAGTCATCCTATAAGAAGGAATTAATACTGGTTGTGTAGCTGGCGGCATATCAATGGCAAAATTAATTTCTCGTTCTAGGAGTATACCAAGAACCTTGTTCAAAAAGATATATGAAAACTCACTTACCACCAAAATAGACTAGAGAGTTGATGGTTCTTTATCTATATCCCAAATTTAAATAATATAACAAATACAAACATTAATAATTATCTTTATTTCCTCTAAATAAGAAATAAACCTACATTTTTATGATGTCGCATTGCCTTTCATATTTGGACAACCTCTCTTAAAAATAAAATCTGACAATCTTTGTCCAACATTCGACATTATCATAAGAAAATGCTAATCAATTCATGCTCCTAATGACATCAAAATCGACCATTTCTAACTCTATCAGGTCTACAAAGGTATATGACCAGCAATCTCTACCATGCAACCCTGATATACTCTCCTCAAAATAATAGACTCAACAACTAGGGTATACACAAAAAGGATCATTGTAATGACCCTGGTGCTATACAAAAAAATTTCATAATTAACATAATAACATAGGACAAAGTGGATCCTAGATCTATCAAAACATAAGCACAATGAGAGAAAACACTCAATGTACCTATCATAGCATTTGATTATGACTCTCAATCCTATCAGCCTGCTAGTGAATATGTACAATTTTGTCCACTATTAAAACTAGATGTTTTCTCTTTTGCCTGCTTAAGTCTGGGATTCATGTCCCATTGAATGAACAAATAAGGAGAATCATGTTTCTTACCCAATCCACTGACTCATACCACACTGATCTCTAGTCTCATAGTTCCTTTTCATATATATGACCGTCTTGTCCATATGAATGACAAGCTACAAAATTCATTATGCTAAGTACATATTGCCTCAAGTAACATAATATGGTAATACTAGTCTACTCTAGTTTGAACTTCTCTGCTGCTGAGAGCCTGATGCTAAAAAACCCTCACATGGACTTGACTGTCTATAAAGATCAAACTTGCTATCCTTAAATTATTATAGTGGAGGCCTAGATGGCCTACTAGAATAGTGAGGTTTAGGACCATCCTAAAACTCTCCATATGAATCAATGGGCCTAGAAATATTATGTTACTCTCTCTTGACCTTCTCAATCATATATTGTTGACATCAGAGCTCCTCTATATTTTGTGAAAAATCCTAAATTCGAGAAATATCCATTATATTATAAAGTTTGGTTTTAGTGCAAACCTCAATCTTATTAGAGGACAGTCCTACCACAAAGGGATGTATCTTGTCCTGCATGATATCAACAAAATTCGGTGCATATTTATTCAAGGAATCAAATCTCAAAGCATATTCTCAAATACTCATATTGCCATGTCAAAAAATCAGAATTTGGTCTACTCGGGCATCCCATGTATCCTATGGCAAGTAGTGATCTAAGAAGACTTTTGTGAAGATATGGGTGGAGGTGCATCCCTCCCTATAGATCTCTTCCAAATCTTTTACCACAATACTTTTATATCACTTATTGAAATGCTGCAAACTTAGTTGACTTGGTCACTGAAGCATGTATGACCCTGAAGATCCTATGAAACTAATCTATAGAGGGAAGTGGATCCTATTTGTGATCGATACCTGTAAACTATAGAGAGATCAACTAAAGTTGTCACGATCATATTTTTTAGGTCATGATGTCACCTATTACACCCAACAAGTAGGTAAGCCTAACACTTAACCTGAGCCGTAAGCCACAACCTATCAAGCAGAAGTCAACAAAAAGAATCATAAAACTTAAAGCAAAGCAGAAAAAGAGTAATCATCAGAAATGCAATTTAAGAAACCATCCTAAGACCTGACATTTGTTAGTAATAGAACATCTGATAAAATAAGAGTACAAGGCTTTTACAAATACAAAATGAGTACAGATTGTCTCTGAATATAATAAAAAAGCTAAGCTTAGTCAAAATAGACATAAATTGGTAACTTTGAATGCCAAGAGTTCAACCAAGTCTCCAAACTCCAAAGCATCTTGGCATGACTCCAAATCAATGACGAGGACTCAACTATGATCTATAGGCAGCAGAAGTGTAGTATGAGTATCAAAAAATGGTACTCAGTTGGCATCGACCGACTAAGCTCAAAGGATAACACAAGTATAAGCAAGAAGTAATAAGGAAAGCGTAGCGCAGATAACTAAACAAGAGATAACATGATATACTAGAAGTAAGGAACTGAATCAAGAACGTACCTAGAACCCCAGCCAACAAGTAATAAGGAAAGCGTAGCGCAGATAACTAAACAAGAGATAACATGATATACAAGAAGTAAGGAATAGAAATAAGGAACTGAATCAATAACGTACCTAGAACCCAAGCTAGCAACCTAATCCCAAGCGACTAAGATGCAAAGTCAACTATCAAGAATCAGGAAGACTAACAACCAAAATTCTAAAGCCAAAGACTTTCACCTAACAAAGAAATAACAACAAAGAATAGAATATAGTCAAACAATAACCTAAGCGGACCTCATAAGTTTGAATGGTACAAACATCAAACATAGCCCAACTGACCCAATAAACTGAAGGTTGCAATCAACAAACAAGTATATTGGAAATAGGCGATGCTTATGAATCAGAGTATGTAGTAGGACTATTAGTAACCATTGGTAACCAAGTGTACAGACCTACCTCCCTACCGTGTGAGTGAAGTAGGACCCATGCAGCTCCCTCATCCAGTATTGTGGTACTCACGACCAAAGGGGCTCATAGGGGTTGCGGTAAGTCTGTATACACTGCATGGGTCCAAATCCAGGTCTTATATTGAGTCGACTTCGCAGAGGATAAGAACAAACCTTTAATTTGCAAATATAAGGGATCAACTTCGTGGAGGATCATGAGTAGCCAAAATCATGCAACAAAGGGCGTCAACACGCTAACTAGTTAAGTAAAAATTGAGCACATGCCAGATGACTCTAATATCTCAAGTAGAAAAGGAGTTGCTCACGCCTCATAAATCTCAAAATCAGTAAGTCAAGTGATCCAGGTGGTACGACTCATGTTAAAACCAGTTTAGAATAAAAGCCGAGTAAAAATAATATTTCTCTATGAATGATAAAGATGAGCCAATACATGAGCCGGTATCGTACCACAAAACACGTGAGAATGAACAACCAATGCAATGCATGCCATCAACAACATTGAAACAAGTAATTCACAACCAAATAAATATAAGTCCAAACAAGCCATGCTACCAAGGTGAAAAGTACTAACCTAGGATTCAACTAGTCCTCGAACTTGGATCGGGCCCACTAATGCATATATAATACGGCTCAGAGGAGCATAAAAGGTATACTGCTAGAGAAGTAAAGTTGATAAATCTCTAAGAACTCAATTGTGCTACTAAGGAGACATATGTACCTATTTTTCAAGACCTA